GCTGGAACATGACGAGTGTTAGCCTCCTTGAATTGCAGTATGTGTTGACAAGGTCAAGTATAGCTGTTCTGTTGTCTTCGTAAATAAAATAGTTTTACATGTTCATGCTAGTTTTAGAGTCCATCTGTGATACTCTAGTTATTTTACAGTCCTTCGATGACTGATTATTTAGCAACTTAAATTTATTGTTTATGTAAAACATTTCTCGTCACTATATGGCTGAAATATTGCCGAGGTAACGTTAAATGTTAACTCACTCACTCACTATAGTTGTTCTGACAGCGAGAACAAGCGATAATATCACTTCTGGCGGAAACGTAATGTACGATATGCCGTTTTCAATGTGTGCAAAACATCATAAAGAAGGTACTGTATGTCGCTACATATATCCGAAAAATATATCCCGAAAGAGTGTGACATTGACTATCTAGACGATTTTCCATTGAAATCTATTTTGTACGTTCTGGGGTACTTTTCTTTAGACAGACCATTTCAAGTGACAGCAGTATCAAATAAGATACATCGAATACACGCTTAAACTTGCAAAATGTGTAAAACAAATACTGAATTCATGTTTGATGTCATTGTGTTTATATTAAAGCCATTCTGTGGGAATGCAATGTTACACACTCAAGTAACTCAGGCAGTCTGACCCGTTGTGTCTGTAATCGAACCCAGAATAAGAGCAGGGTTGTATGATGTAAGATGATATCTCATGTACCAGGTTTCATCAAGACATATTGAATGCTCAGAGTGAAAGTATTATCCTGAAACCTTAGAAACCCAATATGTAACAATTATATAGAACGTCGAAATAGCAAAAAGCATCGGCGTAACTGTCATGGTGCCCGATTGATATATGCAAGCGGAAAATGGTTACTGTGCTTCATTTAAAGAGGTGTAAATGTTATGTTGTTGCAAATAGCATATTATTTGTTCATTATCTGATATATTATGATCGCACATTGACAGCACTCATACCAGGTAAGTGTAGACGGGACGAGGAGTCCAGAAGAAGCATGGAATCCCTGTTACAGACTTGTCTTCTGCAAATACACCAAGGTGCTTGTGCCTAACAGTGGCGTGGAAGGAAGTTTGGAATATCACAGGACGTCGGATGTCGTGCTCCCTCAGCCAGAAGGCGGACGGTGGGGTAGCCTAGTGGTTAAAGCGTTCGCTCGTCACGCCGAAGACCCGTGTTCTATTCCCCACACGGGTACAATGTGTTAAGCCCATTCCTGGTGTCCCCCTCCGTGATATTGCTGGAATATTGCTAAAAGCGGCGTAAAACTCAACTCACTCACTCAACCAGAAGCGTACGGACACTGGTTGGTGGCATCCAGTGAATTCTCCGAGCTGTTTATGTGGCAGAAGTGTATACATTCAGTAGATGCACCAACAGACTATGGTTGTCTTGTTGATATGATATCACATCTTGAAGACCTGTCCGTGGCACGTTGGGTGAATCTATTTTGGTTGGTTGGTTGGTTTTGTGTTTTACGCCGCACTCAGCAATATTCCAGCTATATGGCGGCGTTCTGTGAATCTACAATGTGCACATAATTTGCTGAGATATTGCCGTTGTGGCATTACATTTCAATTCACTCAGTCATATTCGTATTAGTGAACCTACCTTTGTCAGTAAGTGGCGTTCGACCTAACACACTCAGGAAGCTCTGACACCAAAGAACTATTAATGTGGCCATATTTTTCCTTTCAACGAACTGTCGACTGTTATACAGGTTTTCTAATCGTTAGTAGTAAGGTGTCCATTTGTCAAACATCGTGAAAGGGTTACTATGCGTAACACTGATATATAGTGACAAACCTTTCTGAACTTCACAGTATATGTTTTCTCAAGACATTTCTTCTGTGCTTCAAAGCCGTTGTTACTTGAGGATATGACGTCGTATTTGATGCTGCCTACGTCTCTGTATTCCGTGTAAACGTGTTTGAGTAAGGCGACCAAAAACCCCTTTTCCTCGATAGACCATCTTTACCCTGCTTGCTAGTACAAGAAAGGTCAAACCATCGTCGATCAGGATAGCGGTGGAGAAACCAACCTGCGTGGACGAGGGGTCGGTAATAAATAGCCCATACATTATCACAAGGTATCTAGAACATAGTCCATCGTCATTAAGACTAACGCAGCAGAAACCAACCTATTGACAAAGATATCATTTGGAACAGTGTAAACCTTGGATTTGTTCCTTAAGATTCGCATAGTCATGAAATATGGTGTACCCAGAAAGATCCAAATAAGAATCGGTCTTCAGTAAACCTTTCTTTTTGTAAAAGGCAACTACCGGGATCGGGTGGTTTGGCTTGGTTGAGTCCCATACACTCTTGCCGCATAGTTCTTGGTATGAGTCATGGGATTCCGTATTGTGGTCTTGAATGGCATGAGATAGTCACAATTGTTATCAAGGTACTCACAATCTCTTTCCCGATGATGTAGACGTACGACTTGGCGTTACGGTCGCCCATGAACTTGTGGTAACGATGGCGCAGGTAGTCAGTCCCCATGTACACGTCCCCGATGTCCATGACACCGTCAAAGTCGTCAACCGTGGCACGCCGTATGTGATAGTCCGACATGATTTTCCTGCAAGGATACATGGACCCGGAAGTACGGGAATGAATTTGGGAGTAAGACGGTGGGATGGAGGTATGGGTGGGGGTTGGGTTTGGGGTTCAAGGGGGGTGAAAATGAGATCCCGGTGCTGGATGGGATTGTGAGTCGGTGAGACAGAAGTCAGAACGTAAATGTCCCGAATTCCAGTGCAGGACTGTGGCGTTTAAGAAACAAACCTCATGCACTCACGCCAATCTCGCACTCACGCCAATGATTGCTTACATTCAAGTCTCGGCGACAGTACTTTGACTATGCTATTTGAAATCACACATTTAATATACATGAGCTCACATTATACATAAATACATTCAGTACATGAGTCGAAATGCATCTTGGTAGCTCTCGACATCCAGCTACGATAGATTGAAGAGGACTAATTCATGGGGTTTTATTTGCGTGAATCATCTGATGTAATTAGATACGTATCCATTTTCACAATTATGCATGGCTTCTCACATAATACCATATGGCACTGCACACAAAGTGATTGCTACATCACGAATTCCAAATATAGTGTAAGTGGATTGTTTAACATGTGAATCTAGTAAACAGACTGATGTTACAATGATATCTCGCCCAATTTGTTTAAATATTTTAGGATTAAATTATAAGCACATTCCTCTTTAGCTATTCTATGGAGGTCACCTGTTTAAATATAATACTCTGTGGTCAGTCGAGTATGAACGATATGAGGTGAGGTGAGATGAAATTGGGTTTTTACGTCGTGCTTGAGAATATTTCGCTCATATGACGACGTGCATGCGTGTGTACCCCACTCAGACACATTATACTGACTCCGAGCCGACCAGTCCTTGTTGTACCCATTAATGCCGAGCGCCAGGCAGGGACCAACAAGTACCATATTTTAACGTCTTTTGGTATGATGCGGTCGGGGAGCGAACCCGCGACCTTCCGCTCTCCGGGCGGACGCTCTAACCACTACACCACGGAGGGGGTCATGAACGATATGAAATCCACAAAATCATGAAGGCTGACTACCTAACGACAAGGATAGGCTGCAGTGATAAAGGCGCGGCGCTGAAACCCGCGTGACTAAGTGACACTGTACGCCGACTGTGTAGGAAATTACTATTGCTATTCGACATAAGATTGTCTGGTCCAGATTCGACTACTTAACATGGCCGTATTACCACGATAGTATAACGTGCATTAAGATTAATTTGCAAGTTTGTTTCAAATCTGTGTGTTTATGCTATGCCAATAGCAGCGTTAAATATGCAAAAATACTATTTTCTATTTTTTCCATTGTATTTATGCTCTGAAACCCAAACATGAACACGTTCTGATGCATTTATCACCCAGACTGAACATGTATTGAGGGTCTGAGGATACCCAATCGCCCCTAGTGGTACAAGTCCCCACATGGGTACAATGTGTGAAGCCCATTTCTGGGGTCCCGCTGTGATATTGCTGGAATATTGCTAAAAGCGGCGTAAAACCAATCTCACTCACTCACTTCCAGAGGGAAGCATATGTAAACTTACGTTCTTCAGTTGAGCCTTGGTAAAAGTTAGAAATCTGCAGTAAAGCACACACAATTCATCAGTCACATACCTTCAGTGATGCGATGCCACATAATCTATTCATATGTCACCCAGGCGGCGTGTGGATCTTATTTCATTGCGTTATTTATGGATTCTTTCACTTAATCGAGCAGCGGAGCTCATAATTACAGAGCATCGAGTAATAAACCTAATTTGATTAATTGTAAGGCTTACCGTAGCGAGTAAATTTACACATAAATGACACATGTTGGAATATCGCTGCTTCCGACAAATTATGAGGGTGTAATACATATGACAAATAAATTTCATTTGATGTTATGTAGCAATAAATTTATCTGATTAACAAACAGACACAACGGAAACTGTGAACAAAAACCCGTTTACCTGTACACAGATTATATATTGACGGAACGTTTGGAACTATTTTGTATCAAGTCATATATCCTTCACCTTCACCAAAGGCATCGTATTCACTTCTGAACCAGTCACTGCTCTAGCGCGTCACACAAAGTGCTCACTCTATCTGCCCTCTTCTTACTCTCTACAGCATGTTGGGTGGTGGGGTAGCCTAATGGCTATAGCGTACGCTCGTCACGCCGAAGACCCGGGTTCGATTCCCCACATGGGTACAATGTGTACAATGTGCGAAGCCCATTTCTGGTGTACCCCGCCGTGATATTGCTAGTGTATTGCTAAAAGCAAATGTAAAACTACTCACGCTCCGCAGCATGTTGATCTCCAGGCGCTCAGTGTTCAACGTCCCAAGCCCTATATCACCATGGTTGACTGGAATTGACACAATCCCCTATGGGGAACTACACATACAAGCAATAAGGGGAAACTACTTGAAGTTTTATTTCAATATGTCTGTTTAATGATAATCCCACCACATATTTACATTATAATTCATCTATAACAGACTTTGATCTCCTTAATATGTTTCACTTTAGTCCATGACAAATTCTGTGGAATCACAATTTTCCAAACATTCTCAAAACTATGACTCCATCTGATTTTCCTCTGCCCTAAAGGCACTGGCCTACGTCTGAAATACTCTCTTCAAACAAATGAAAACCTGAACTGTTCACAGATGTTTCCGACCGCGGGCAGTTATTCTCTGATGAACTAAACACAATAGCCGATGAATGTATTCCTAAGTCCTCCGCAAAAATGACTGCCAGCAAGCCGGGAAGGCAAAGGAAAAGGCTGAATTGTATCTGTCGCAACCCTATGGTTTCAAAGTGTCATCTATAAAAGATCTTTTTAATCATCGGATTTTTAAAAGAAACTGAGTTAATTCATACATCTTGACAATGTGTAGAGAGCTGTTGTGTAATATTGGTAGTGTTTTATTTTAAACTTGGATGGTTAGTGGCTGTATCCTTAAAGGGGCTTGAAGTAATGTAAAACTCTTGGCCCCATGAGAGGACATATCAGACCGCATCATTTAATATATTTTCTTCCAGCCACGTGTGTAGTCTTAATATATTTGTGTATTTTAATCGTTGGTACCATTGCATACACTCGCCAACAACTGAAGGGATGGTGGGGAACCGTGTAGGAAGCAGGCGTATTTAAGTCCCCACTGTCCCCAGTACGATGGTCCGACTTCGGCTGCTGCCGCTCAGTAAATGTGTTGTAAGTAAAACCTATCAGAACATATGTAACGATCATTACCATGCGTCCTAAGCAAAACTGTTATAAACAGTAAGTAAATATTCAATATCAAAATGTGTTTGAGGAATTTGTTTTGAAATATAACTTTCCTTCCATATAAACTGGGTCTCATGGATGTATAACTGAACTAATCTCTGTGTCGCATTATATTTCAACTCATTCAGTGAGTGTGTGTGCAGCTGTAACGTCAGCAAATGAAATTAAGGAGAAATGAAGTCTGACTCTCTCATTTGCCGCAAATAGCTAACTGATTTCATCGGAAACTCTTTTCAAAATAGATCATTTCAGACATCGGAAAATCTAATAGAGGAACACCTAGATCTCTCATAATATCTTTCCCGATATTTCCTAATTCGAATACAGCTATGATCTGAAATACCACGTCCCCCTGTGTCAGCGACCGCAGATATTCTAAGTGACGTGTCATGTGATGATGTATGGCAGAGGCATCACTTCCGAAGACATCCAATGAGTACCTCATGCCACGTTCACACCATATTGGTGTTCCTACGGTGAGGAGTGACACGTGGGAGTTATCGCCCCCTTGACTGGAGAGCCAGTGCGTTTGGCGCGAGTATGTATTTCATGTTAACAAGTAACAGTCGCAGAGGAACCCAGTCAATTATTATCTTGCCTTCAGGGAAAAGTTTCTCACGAGTATTCTTGTCCTCAAATAATGACATCATAACTGACGAGTTGGCTTCCTCCAGGACTGGACCGGTTGTGGGGGCGGGAGTATCTACATCTTCCATCTTGAATTGGTAATTGAGAAAACACTGAAATGACAAGAAACAATATAAAGGTGTGTCTCAGTATGATACATGTGAAAGTTCGCGTGTGCCCATGTGCTTATTGGATTCCTGACATTGACTGTCACATTTGTATGCTTTCCTGTTGAGTACTAATGGTCCAGCGAGTACAACCAGCGGCATACAGTGACGTAATTATGGAAGTTTCTACCATATCAGCGTAAAGGAAATAATGTGTTTTAGGACATGGTGACAAGGAAACTGTTTATCAGAAGAAGCATTAGTTGTCACAGACTCTGAAACAAATATACCCATGTCATGATACCTAACCATAGTTATAATGTCTGTACAATTCTTCTGAGTTCACACGCTTGTAGTTTATGGTTAATCTCCAGGGCCCCGTTCCTCAAAGCGATCATAGCGCTACGACAGTCGTAAGTCTATGTTAAAGTATGGGAGTTACGATCATCTTAGCGCTACGATGGCTTTGAGGAACGGGGCCCAGATGTCATCAGTGTTGAGTGTCAGGACACAGTGAGACTCCCCTACCAATCTCCGAGTCCCCAGACTGAGCTAACAGCTGTTCCTTCTCTATCTCCTGCCCTAGCACTCAGACAAGTGTACTCTGATGACATACTAACACACATAATCTCTTGAGCATGAGCATCGATCTACGTAAGTGGCACACGATGACATGTGTCAACCAAGTCAGTGAGCCTGAGCACCAGATCCCGTTAGTTGCTTTTCTCACGACAAGCATGGGTAGCTAAAGGCCAATTCTAACCCGGATCATCACGGGTGATTATTATTATCAATAAAGGTCGTTGTATTTGATAGAAACAGCATACCTGCTCTCCAAACTATATCATCTGACCACTTTTCCGCTCCAAAGAAGCCAATTAGTTTTCTTCCTGTTCGTATATCAATTATGGTGATCTACCTTCTGTTGTTGGCGATCTATAGCCTGTTTTTATATTGTATTGTCCCTATAGTGCTATTAGTTTTAAACTTTCCACGCTAGTTTTAATTCTAATTGTGATATTCTAGTTGTTTTACTGTCCTTCGTCGACAGGTTTTTATAATGTACATGTGTTTCATTTCAATATCAAATGTTCTCGTCACGATATGGCTGAAATATTGCCGATGTGACGTTAAGTATTAACTCACTCACTCACTCACTCACTCACTCGTATATCAATTACCAACCTTTCTGGAAACTTCAGTATGTGTTTTCTTCAGGCTGTCTTTCTTAGCTTCAAAGTTGTAATCGTTGGTTGTCATTGCGTCGTATATGATGCTGTCTACGTCCTTGTACTCAGTGTATACATGTGTCATTAGACGGCCGTAAACGCCTTGTCCACGGAAGCCCTCCTTTACCCTGCTGCCTCGTACAAGAAAGGTCAAACCATCGTCGATCAGGAAAGCGGTGCAGAAGCCAACCTGCGTGGACGGGTCAGTCATACATAGCCAGTAGTAAATGGCATGGGCGGATCCAGGAATTTTTTTTATTTTTTATTTTTATTTTTATTTTTTTTTATGTTAATTTTATTTTTATTGGGGGGGAGAGAGAAAAAGAGGGGCGGGGGGGACACCCCCCACCCCCATTTGGCTCTGCCAACGCAAAAAAAAATCTCCAGTGTGGTTTTAAGTCATTTTGAAAAGGTGGGATTCGAACCCCTGAAACCCCCCCTCTGGATCCGCCAATGAATGGCTCATACATTATCACAAGTGAACAACAAAAGTCTGATAATCGTTCACAAAATCTCGTTTTAACTGCTTTTCTGTGAAACAGACATACAATTTTAACTGCTATTTTTTTGCTTTTTTATGTCAAACGCAAACTTCTTGGTCTAATCGAAAATGGTTTTCTGACGCTGACATTCTATAAATAAAAAGGAAATCTATTTCAGAAAAAAATGAGAAGAAATCTCGTTTGCTTCGCGTTTTACACATATACCAATTTCCGATTGAGATGTTACGAATGATAAACTGCGTGTCTTGAAAATGTGAAAGATCAAAATAGCTTCCCATTCATCGAATATTTACCAGACAGGATTTTAAAGATCTCAACTTCGTATTTCTTAGATATTTTAATTAAGATTTATACAGAGTTTGTCACTTTACAGTTGTGACACTGTTTATTATGACAGCTGAGCGTGTCACTTACTATCTCCTCACCCACGACGTAGACGTAAGACGTGGCGTTAGGGTCGTCCATGAAGAGATGGTAACGATCCCGCAGGTAGTCAATCCCAAAGTACACATCCCCGATTTCCATAACACCGTCATAGTCATCAACCGTGGCAGGCCGTATGTGATAGTCAGACATGGTTACTTCTGCAAACCGTCATGAAGTACGGAAATGAGGATTAAATAAGACAGTAAGTGAGTAAAGGTAGCACAGATTAATTAGGTTTCCTGTCGCAAATATGACTTCCTAAAAATGTTTGAAAGCGTATTATACCTCCAATTTGGCCATCACAGGAAAAGAGGATATATACAGTGGTTCTAGGAAAAGTCTGGCTTTACGCACTCAGAGAGAAAGTTGTGAAAAGTCTCCCTCTCTCTCTAAGCCCTAACTCCAGTGTCAGCTCAGTTGGTTGGCCTAGTTGCTTTATCAGAGCTGACTTAGAAAAAAGAAATCGGTTTCGGTCAGGACGACCCGACACGACGAACCCTTGGTTCAGATTACCAGCATGTTCAAATACTTTTTAAAAAATCCAAACAGCTCGTGTTTCAATAAATGTATGTTGGTATAGCTCCATTATTCAAACATAGCGGCCTTCTCACATGATCCCCAAATATCATAAGATACTACTCACTGTTAGCACACCTTACATAAGAGTGAATACTGAACATGTAGCACAAACACTACCGACCTGACTGCATGTAGAACTCACGAGTCAAACGTGGCCCGTAACGCACAACCTCGCGGAGGTTAGTCGTTGTAGGTCAGCCTGCATAACACGACTGATAGTTGGTTAATTATGTGCACTCGAAGAAAATACTTGACCTGTCCAGATTTAGGTTAAAGCAGTCAGTCAGTCTATTTATGACAGCGCATTGGTCTCCTGTATAGTCCGTTTGACTGACTGTTAGACCGATGAATTGCTCACTAACACTAAATCTAATAATTGCAACAAATCCAAATTTTGCACAGTCCCATGAAATCGACAGACCAACTCTGATGATTTGTCTGATAATTTTGTACACCCGAATAAAAAAGTTGTTTAACAAGCGACCATTATGTTGTGTCACATTCGTAACTACTCGCCTCTTTCCGTGATCTACAAGAATGCCGGAATGACACGAGTAGTTACGAATGTGTTGTGTCACTGTTCGCTATTTCGTACGAGGGATGACCAATTGCTGGTAGAACAGCCAGGTAATCAACAAACGTGTGCAGTGAAATTTAAATTTCACACGTACAACTGGCACACCTGGCTGTTCTACTAGCAAGTGGTCCTCCCTCGTAAGAAATAGCGAACAGTGACACGAAATAATGATCGTTTGTTAAACAATTTTTTTATTCGGGTGTCCAAAATTATGAGACAAATCATCAGAATTGGTCTGTCGATTTCATGTGACTGTGCAAAATTTGGTTTTGTTGCAATTATTAGATTTTGTGTTAGTGAGCAATACATCGGTCTAACAGTCAAACGGACTATGCAGGGGACCAATGCGCTGTCTTAAATAGACTGACTCACTGCTTTAACCTAAATCTGCACAGGTCAAGTATTATCTTCGAGTGCACATAATAACCAACTATCAGTCGTGTTATGCACGCTGACCCACAACGACTAACCTTAACGGACTATAGGAGCAATTGTAGTTTATTCGGTGTGAGACTCGTTTACATTGTTCGACATCGAACCTCCAGCATTCGGGTTGAATCGAAGGGAACAGCTGTTGTTTGCTTATACATACGCTCAGTGTTTTTAACTATCTATGAATGGGTATCTGTTCATAAATTGTTGTGACTGCTTCACTAAACATAAGAGAGAGAGAGAACTGCATTTGTCCAGGCAATCTCTACCAAAGAAAGAGTTGACTGTACCATACCGCATCATGTACAAATGTCGTGGAAAGTGTTTGAATAAATAAAGGTTCTAAATAGGGTAAACAAAGTAACTATAAGCTTAGAAATAGTACTTCCATTTAAACTATTAATTGTAGAACGCGAAGATATTCTCAATCATTTTTACCGAGCGCGATTATGACGTGGAATTCATTGCCTGATGGAGCTGTTAACGCTATTTCCCTGAATCAATTTAAAACCATGATAAACACAACAGAAACTCACAATTACTTTGATTTAAATTTTGGAACTAGATTTTGTCAAATCGTTCATTGTCGCCTCAAGCCCGGCTGTAGTGATCTAAACGCAGACAGATAATCGGCATATATCGGACACACCCAGGTGCTCATGTGGTTATTATAACGAAGACGTTATTCACTAGCTTTTAACATGTCCGAACTATCAAAATTTAAGAACAACTGTGTATTTTATTTTCAAGGATATGATGTTAAAACTACTTTATACGGTAACGGCGCATTTAATAACTCAACTAATAGTGACATTCTTAACTCATTACACCTGTTGATTTCTAAAAGTAACCGCTTCCAGTGATTATCCCCTCAACATATATATTCAGTGTAAGACAAATTTTATATAACGTGATTTTCTGCGGCAGCCCATTTCGTTGCTAGGCATAACTCAACACCAGAACGAACATATTTGTTACTCAATCAGATATTTGGTATTATTCTTTTGTTGTCAAACTATTTCATTATGTATCCAGCTATTAATTTTGAACAATGTACTGGAGCGGCGTGAAAATAAGCCACTAGGCTTGTTCGCCTATCCAGGTTTCTGCTTTGGCGAAATAAAAATATGTTTAAACCAAATAGGGTATTTTAAATGTTATAATAAATTGCGTATCATGGTGTTTTAATATATGCCTCTCTATTGCAATAAAAACATATCTAATTATCTCAATGTCAATCAATCATAATGACAATGGCAATACTTTATTACACGTGAGGGAATTCTTGTGTAAAGTACAGAGCTCAAACATTGATAAAATGATTAAATTATTTTCATACAATAAATTACACACATATAACACGCTAACAAGGTTAGACAATCACTAGGAATCATTTAAAAGATTATTACTGACGGGAACAAAGGATTTCATGGCACGATTGGATTTAAAACGGGGTAAATTATAACGGCACCAAGAGGGCAGTAATTTATACTCATAGTGGATGGGATGATCTGGATCAGATATAACCTTACGGGCTGACTTCAGAACTCTCTCTTCATATATTTCATTTAGGTTAGCAAAAAATACACCTGCAATTTTACTGGCTAATAAAACTATTCTGGTGAGACAGTTTCTGTTATTAAGGGACAAGGTTGCATACCAGCATTGTACAGAAAAAGCCAGAATGCTCTGTATAAAGCACTGATAGAAAAAACACATAATTGATTGATTAACATTGAAAGATCTCAAGTTGCGCAAGAAGTGTAACCTTTGTTGACACTTTTTGAATATAACAAACACTTAAATTAACGTTTGATTTCAGCAATCAATGAATAGTTAATAATAATAATAAGTTATAAATAGCCAGTAATTAGCAGTTAATCCTATTATGCCTTAGCAGGCCACATCTTACCCAAGCGTGCTGATTGCCAGCTACATGTACACACCATGTGTTGGCCGATGCAATCTCTTGTAAAATTACAATGTCGGTTAAATAGAGAGAGTCAATTTACACTAAAAACATGTTTTGGGACCTGATTTGAGTGTCGGAATTCGGAATAGAGGTATGTCGGATTAGAGGGAGTTTAACCCTAACCCAAACCCCCTATATGATGTTATATAGGGACAACTTCGGGACCAAATAAGTACGTCGGTTTACAGCTAGGGAATGTCGGATTAGAAGGATATGTCGGTTTAGCGGGAGTTCACTGTACGAATTGAATCTTGAGTCAAAAATAAATAAATAAATTTAAAACACTGGCAGCAAGGCAGTTTACCTAGCGCATTTATATCGCTTATTTATTTTCTTCTTTTATTCTATCCATAAAAAGTGTTCCACTCCGCTTATTATTGTCGCTGTAACTCCCTGTCTGTTCACAGATCTCGCCTGCCTCAGTGATACTCACATGTCCACTCGTAGACTGGCTATCGTATCCTCCGCTTGGCACGGCAACTCTTACTTGGCCAAGACTGCTCGCTAAGCTGGAACCCCGTCTCTCATATCCCACGTTGTATCGCTGGTAAAGTAGACTGGTTTCATGTAATGTATATCGCCTGCTATTGGTTGAAATACAACGAGGAGCGCAAGCGCTGTTGAACAGTGCAGCTTGCAAAAGTGGTCAAGGGGAATTAACTCTGACCGCCTACAGTGAAGCTCTGATTCAAACGATGATATCATTCTCGCTGTAAGGAGCTTTCATCCACTTCCGGTAATGAGAAACGTGTTACAAGCGTATCTTCTTGCGGTAAAAATATCCCAGGTTTGTATAGCTGAGATCATGTTTGGTGTTGAAAAAACCCCAAGTTTGCCAGTATATTTGTGATTTAATTGAACACGTTGTTCGGAAATGTGTCACAATGCTGTTCTGTTGAACTGTTGAATGTAAACTAATGTCAAAGTTTCTTATGAAATATTATCTTTGCTGGAGTGAGTTACAGAAAATGTAGTACTGAAGCCAAAATTTATAGATTTACTAAATCACATGCTGAATGAAAGAACTCCAAGAAACATTGAAAAAACTATCAGGTGCAGCTAAATCAGTTGCAACACTATCTTTTTTCATGTTTGTAGTTTGATTCTAAGTTAACAATATTCCTTCCATTATCAGCTTCCCCATATGTCATTAAAGGTATCTCTGGATCTACAGGTCAGAAAAATGTGTCAGTATTCAATTCAGCACCAAATTCTCGTCAGGAGAGTCGCAGCCATAGGTCACACATTCTAAAACCTACTTACAGTACACAGCATGCTTAGTGTAACAGTGTAGATGTAGCTCAGTCATTGCCTGTCCTGCCCCCAAATCCCAAGATGGCAGGATAGGATTCTCAATAAACTGTCTGTCTTTGTTGTGTGACTTATGACAGAGATCATCCTCAGGAGAATATGTTCTGTTTTCCAAAGCTGCTCCCGCATTTTATCTTAAATTCTTTCAACAAGGCCAGCCAAAATGTGTAGAATTCAATTGAATCAATTTAACATGTTTAAAGTTTTGAGTGTTTTATGCAAGAACTCATATGTTATTTTTCAATGTGATATAAGCAGTAGCATAACGTGCTTCACTTTGCCATTTGGGGAAATGTTTTTATATAAAGACATTGGTGCCACATATAAATGATAATTGATATACATCAAAATATGAATTGATTACAAAACAAATGAATTGTGTATGGTATCGTTTTAAGATTACCAGTGCTGCACTGGTGACTCATGACATTACTAATGGAATGTTGGTTACAGACTCTGATTATTTAGGCAGCTGGAATCTCGCTGTCAGTGTACATTGTTTAGGAATACACCAGCAAGCTGAAAATGTTACTGTTGACGTTTGTCACTTTACACATTAGATTAGAGCCTGAATCTATTCTGTTCAGTCAAGTAAGCTGATCAATTCTTCCGAGACCTCCCCTCTGAAGTCAAGGTGAAACATGTATGAGGAAAATTCATGTTGTGTCATTATTTTGTAATTTTCTTGATATATTTACTCCTGTATACTGCTTAACTTTGCTGCTATATATTATAAATGTATTATCATGTGTGAGGTTGTTCCCGGTATTTGGACAGCATCGTACAAACGCAACCATCATCAACATTAGCGTGCCCCTGCATGTGGACTCGTCAACTGTGACATGTGATTGTTTCTCGATTGTATTCAGTCTGCGTCTTTGTCTTTGTCTTAAATGTCTTGTGTTTGTAAAATGTCTTGTGTTTGTATATCGTGTTGTGTTTGTGGGCCTCAGTACCTTACACATGATT